TATATACATACATATATATGCCATTTTAATCCTACATCTAAGGACAGGAAGCAGGGGCTTTACTTATTGATTGATATATGAGTACTAATACCACTCCCCTCACCACTTGCTTTTTTGGTCTTTTAGTTTGTTCTTAGCCAATTTGCAACCATCTGGTTGGGTCATTGGTGAGGTTTGTGTGACTTAACCTGAAAGGTAATGCCTGAAATCAAAGAAGCTCGTGGAAATATTAAACACCAGTAGCTGAGAGGGGCTAACTTGGCATAGGCAGGTGGTGGGATTGCAGGCGGGTGTCTAAACAGGTTTCCGGAAGGGAAGTGACAGGCTTGCCCTTTGCTACAAGGTTCTGTCAGCATTCATTTGTAGAGGTTCTCTGACAGGCAAGGGAAATGGCTGTGTGTGAGAGAAGCGAATGCTAATTCCAGTTTTCAGACATAAAGGAACAGAAAAGAATCCCTGCCAGCTGTCTAGAAACTACCATTCTAAGGCACTTACATTCTATAGTCACTAGGAGGGATATTTAAACTGACCAGCTTATTTTCAATTTATTTAATTTTATCAGAGATGGACAGAGAGAGAGAAAAAAAGTGAGAAAGCAAGTTGCCAGGTCCAGGACTGGAACTGCAGTTGGCCACCTGCCATCCCCACCCAAAATATCTATTTCTATCACAAATGTTTCAAGTATCTGTCCACGACAGAAACATATACACTTCTGTAAAAGAAACATTCATTTTCCAAGTGATGCCCCCAGGATATTTATTTTATTTCCTAAACTACATTTATATGAAAAGCACTAAAGGAAACCCAGTGTAAGGAGAAAAGGGACCTTGAGGCTGGTTTCCTTGGGGTTAGAGAAATTCCACGGGACCGGCAGTTGGTGTAAGGGCTATGTCACTGGACTCCCATGTAGTCGACCGTGGTTCGAGTCCCGGACCCAGTGGCTTAAACTCACGCCGGGTGCATGTGCATGCCCCAAGATCCCGAGAGGAGAACGGAGGAGAAGGAATTGCGGCATGGCCATCCCCCCGGGGGATGATTTCTCGCTTTCTATCTCTCTGTTCTCT